CTGGTGAAACACATGACAAGTTTATGGATTCATTTAATCTGAACTGCTTTCTAAAAACCAATCCAGGAAGGAAGATCCCTTCCATTAACACTATATTTTCATGCTATGTACAACATACAGTTTTCTTGACAGTGGCTCAGAGGGAAGTTCAAACGCTGTGGTAATTTTGAGAGCGTCGTTTATGTACATGAGGTGAGCAGAGTAATAGAAACACCTTTCAATATAGATTCATCTAAAAAGACACTACCAAACTACAGTCACAAAAAAGAGTTGAGTAAATATATAAGTGACAGTTTTGATGCAAATCAGTCAACGTGGGACTGATTTTCCAAGTTTACCTCAAACTACTGTCATAACCACAAAAATTTTCCGCCATTACTTCAATAAAAAGAGCAGAGCTGGGTCAATATCGGTTACTAGCTACTTGTACTTAAATACTGCTTGAATAATGCCATTTTGAAACAGCAAGAAAGAACACTATACATTTCAGGAAATAGATAATTAATGCTGCCAGCTTAATGACTGTCACTGAATGGATATTCTTCCTGAAATTATTAAATATCTTTTTTATACATTTAAAAACGATGAAGTAAAAATCCTTGTCTAACCCAGTTTACTTTTTAAAAATGGAGAAAACTACAAATACGAGCAAAATCAAACAGCAGGATGGCAGTGAGGTCATAAAAATCTAGCAACTGTATAAAATATTAAAGATTCTGTTAAATATAGTGCTGCTTCTGCATTGCTGGTCCTTTGGCTTGTATTGCAGCTTCAGCATCCATAAAGTGCACAACACACATCCTCTAATTTGTGTCAATTTTCTGCCCATTGCTGAAGAGTTAATCATTAAAAACTGATGGTAGGAAGATATCCACTCTGGCAGCCCCTCACTCTCTGTTTCCTTTGACACAGTCTTATAGTACATAGTGGTTTAACAAATTGTATCAGCTATTTTTGTTTACCACTACCACATGACCACTCACTTGACTCCTTGTCCTCGTTGTTCTCCAATGACCACCTGCACGACAAGCTTGTATCTATCAAACCCTGCATCTGTTGAAGAAGAGAAATAAGCTGTAATGGTGTACATCAGTAACTGTGCAACATTCTGTCGAGACAATACAGGAGAAGGCACTAACATGCTGCATTTTGCTGAGTAGTGTAGTGGCAATTTCTACTAGACAAAACACATCAAGTCAGAAATTTGTCTTTCTGTATGTTTAATTCAGCATCTGCGGATGGACTCACAACAAACAGTCAAGAATGTGCTGACTGCAAAGAGTGAGCCCTGAACACAGCAGATGTCAGATACTTATTCTTATTGACAACTGCTGAGGTCAGGGGTCTTTAACTAGCATTGTCAGAGGGGTGACAAAGCAGTTTGGGCCACCTTATCTAGTCATGTCCTTGGACATCAAGTAAAGCGCTCAAAATGCAAAATTACTTCACATTTTTTCTGCTTTGTGGCACATAGTACAAAGGCATAAAAGTCTCCATTAAATGTTGCATAGATTTTACATGATTACATAACTTCTGTTATATTGTTGATTACCTTTTCAATTATATTAATAATTTCCATTACAGTAGCATTTACCTAAACAATTTACTAGTAGAAGTTGTTTTAAAGGGAGAAATGCTATTGTTGGTTATATTTGTAAAGGCAAAATGTCTTGCGTACAATTTAATTCAGCTTAAATCTTCTGGCTACATACGTTCCTGTTGAACTTGTTCCTTCTCCTAAGGATTCAGCATGGTTTTATAATGACAGCTACACCAGTCTAAACCAGAAGTTTGTTTCAGAATTGGCAGCACATCTTTAGTCTATTGCCTTAACAATGAACCGAGAGAATTTTGCTTGCTGTGTATGCAGTCAATGGCAAGCGAAGTCTGCACTTGTGTTGCCCTGTCACTGGTATTCTGAATATTAAATAGGACAATTAACATGGCTGAGTAACACTCCTGTTGTCTTATTGTATAATGTGTATTTGGATGAGCATTTTCACCGAATAATTATCTTGATATTACTTTAAATTTACAGCAGAACTTGGATGCTCTTTCCTTCTGAGTTTTAACAGAAAGGGAGAGAAAGCATCACCCACTCTTCACTTTGTCTTTAATGCTGTCTGCCAGTGAACGGGACAGCTCTGGGACTTCCTCTGGGTCATATCGCATCCCAGACAGTCGCTCCCTCACAATTTCACGGACACACTCCTTCACAATGGCTGGTTTGAACCTGGAAGAGTTAACAGGGAGCAGCAGGGCAGGACATTAAGTTTCCACAGGTGACAGTGGCCACAACAGCTTCTCTCAATATAGATCCCACAGCTGTAGAAATTCATTAATAAATGATTTTGAATGATATTTTTTAACGGTCAACTGAAGCCTATATTTAATATCCCCAATCTTATACGCTACTTAACATATTTTTCTGTTATAAAATCGAGTGCCTTCGAAACGTAGGTTGACAGTGAAGCAGACATTTTCCCCACATCGTCTCCACAACTAAGTTAGCATAAAGCGTCCACTAGCTAACAAACACTGTAGAATTGATGCCAAATACTGTCGTTTGAAAGCATAACTTCGTCGTTGACACTATTAACAATCTATTTAGACTTTTAAGCCAGTCTTAAAAGCTGACACTTCTGGTTTAGGTACACAAAAGACACCTATATGAGTGCAAACGTATCTAAGAAAACACATCGTTAGCAATGAACTCGCTAGCTAAAAGCTAACTTCGCCTGCTATAAAAATGATTTAACCGCCTTGACCAACTCACTTGTACTGATGATTAGGTCGTATGAGGTATGTGTCGGACCCCTCCATCGTATGTCAGTAATATAACGCTGGTTAAAACAAGAGAGATTGAAACAGAGAGGCTACACGGTTGCTAACAAGCTAATCTCGGCAGTTTCATCCGTTACCATGGCGACATGTTTTCCTAGTTTCCGGTTTCAAAATAAGAGTATGGTAAATAAGGCACCGTGGCTTTCATTGCGAACTAAAGTCAGTAATCTGTTGGGTATTTTGTTCCGTATCACTGATGTGTGAGATAAATTAAAATGCCAACTTCTTATAATGATACATACGTTTCTCTCTCAGACAAAGGAGGTCTTTCATTCAATTTCCCCCTAAAATAACACTATTACCTCCAATATTTTTTATTTCATCCCCTTTACTCCCAAACGAATTAGAATCTTCATGTTTTTTTGTTATTTAGCCCCTTTTCTTTACTCCCACATGGACTGGTATAGGTCCAGGGTTTGTAACCAAAGGTGTAATATGGTGGAGCCAATTCACTGCACTCCATACCCTGGTTTCTGAACTCCTCTGCTTCCAAGGCCTCATCAACTGTGGCCAAATGACACATGTTGTGCTTTGGCTTTGATAGTATGATGAAGCCAATTTACTGTTCTCTTCGTCCTGATTTCTGAACTCCTCTGCTTTCAAGGCCTCATCAGATGCAGCCAAATCAGAGCATGTGTCATTTGGCTTTACTTACATGTGAAAAGCAGCACAAATGTGCTTTGATTTCAAGAGCAAATTAAGATCCCTTTCTGACTTTAAAGATCAGTCTCTAGCTTTGATAGCAGCAGGGATGGCTCTATCCTGGCACATGCAAATCTCCCTTCTTTGCTCACTTTGTCCAAGACAGGAGGGATGGATTTGAATCACAGAAAATTAAAAAAATGAGGCTTTTTCCACATTATAAATCAAGAAGTATTTATCAGATATCTCATAGGCCAACTAAAACTATCTGCATGATAACAGAGTTTTCCCTCAGCTACACCATCCAACATCTGCAGCGACTAAATAAGCCAAACTGTGACAGCAAGTCAGACGAACACAAATCCAATAACATCATAAAATCTACATGAAGATGTATTAGAATAATTAAAGGGACTCATTTGGAATTCCAGATCAATTGTGCTTGTGTCAAAAGGCCAGAGGGGTAAACACTGTGTGCTCAGTTTAATTATTTGATAATGTTGCAGGTAATGGTTGGATACGGTGGCATTCATTACATTCAGTATTGATCATCATCATCTACAGGCCCTCGGTGAGGAAAATATTGCAAATAACAGTAACAGAATTACCGTTATTAAACCTGCAAATGAGGTTAAATGAGCCATTAATGTTTTTATTGGTTTGTTACAACAAGTGCCTACATGCACAGTTGTCCTGGAAGAGTTTCAAGGTTTATAGGTTTATTGGCTGATGTTAAGCACCATTTACTCTTGTCGCTCCCTCACTGATAGCTGTGGATCAGGATAATGTGTAAACAGTGAGGGTGGCCATGATATTGGCATCATATAAGAATGATTTATTGCACACGTCAGTGTCTCATGATGAAAGACAGAATAGAAGTTAAAACTGGACTTGAAGTAGAAATGAAACCACGCACAAAATGTTTGAAAAGCTACTGTATATCTATTTCTTTATATGTAAATGATGATGACAGTAGATCAATTACAGTACAGTAAGATTACCTCTGCAAAATTATTCCATATATTTTCAATTTCTGCAAGACAGAGGATGTAGCAGAGAAGGCAGCGTGACACCACCATGTGGCAGTGTTGTGTAATTACAATGGGAAAACTTTAAAGTTTCATTTCTGTTGCAGTCCTTCACTGTGAGTTCTTGTGAAACACATTAAGGCAGAGAGCATATTTCACTTCTTAATTACTAATCAAATTTCTTATTTGTGTGACTGATATATTAGTAAATAAAAAGTTAACTTTCAGTTGACCTCCAGTGGATAACAATCACAAGGCATCCTAACTACTCAGGCACACAAGTTACACTTTAATACATGGGCTTTTCCTTCTCTTTATTTCTTTGCTACCCAGCAGTTAGGCAGTCAATAGTTACCATTGTCCTTTCAAAAGCCTTGCATTTGCCCAATCAAAACCAAAGCTTAAGGAAAAAAGGTTTCCACCTGTAGGTTTCATTTCCTCTGAACTCTCTATTGGAGGAGTTACAGTCTCTCAACCCAAACAGGATGAGTCATTCTCGCAGGTTGTTTGTGTACCGTGCTGATCTCCTGCCAGTGTTTTGCTTCTTCCTCAGCCACCAGCATCACTGGCACTGACAGGATGGCCGAGTGGACACGTCTCTTCGAGATTATAGCAGACAATTTCAAGAAAGGAGACAACTGGCGTCTGGAGTTTGATGAAGGTCTTATGCATAACCACCAAAAACCGGGCTGGAAGAAGTGTATTGTGAGCACAGGTGGAAGGTCAGTGAGTAGTATGGTGTATGTTTTGTTAATATTCAGGATAGTATAGTGGGTGCATTAGGTTTATTAAGATTTGTGTGTATGTCTGTGTCTTTGTGCAAACATTATACAGGTGTTCCGGCTTAAGGTTGGCATTGGGATAAGGGTCTGGATACTCTAAATTAATGCCATGTTCAGTATAACAGAAATCTGGGTTATAGAGTAATACTGATCGAAGAAGTAATGTAGACTTGATCTCAGTTGATTGGGAAACAAAGATTTCAGTTGAATTACGTAAACAGGAAGGAGGTGACATCAAATGGCTTTCTTCCTCCTATGTTACCATCTGCACTGCCTGTAGTCTTACAACATTATAAAGACAGATTGTCAACAGTTTGGGGCAGCCAAATGATATTTAAATCTAATTATATTATTTGTTGTTCCAAAGCATTACTGCTTTCAAGCAACTAAAAAGTTTTCAGTGTTACTTTGGTTGGGTGCCATTCTGTTAAAGGACCTCTGTCATTTTCAAGGTTCAGATGCTCCAAGTGTGGAAGAGGCTGGTCTTCCAACATGGTGAGGGTGGTCTGCCACATGCGCCTGGCGTACGGGCAGGGTGTTGTCAAGGTGAGGCCCACCCGTCAGAAGTGCAAGATGTGCACCGACGCCCCAATGGAGGAGCCCAGCATCGCCTCCGACAACATCAGAACCCTCATGAAGAATGTGTTGGAAAAGATAAGAATAAAATGCTACAATGAAAACCTGGGCAGAAAGAACCGGCCTTTCAGAAGCTTCGACACCACCAGTCCCCACGAGCCCTCTCACTGTGAGGCCTGTATGCAAGGCATCTGCCCGAAGCGTTGAACTTTTGCTGTTCTCTAATGATGTTTTATGCCTGAGATCATATTAGAAAAGCATCGGTTGTGTGAGACTCCTGTCACTCTGTTACACTGTATTATCATGTTTATATTATAACCAAGCCTATGGGAGCTCTCATTTATTCTTACCAGTTTCTTCTTGCTGTCTGTTTTTTAAAAAATATTGTTGTCTGCTAAAAGCATCAAATCAGCCTTCACTTCACTTAACAATGTAAAAGATTAAAACAAAGCTTGTATTAGCAATAAAGTAAGCTTATGTGTGATATGCAGTGTGGGTATTTTCTGTGTGATTTATTTATTATATATCTCAAGGAGTCACTATGGTAAACAGATCTGTAAACAGTAGGATACGTCTATATTAGAAATAATATTTGGACATTTTTCAGGTAAGAATTGTAAAAAATGAGATATTGTGCATACATAAATACATGCATAGAAGACAAGGCAGCATAACACCAGCAGGTGGCAGTGTTGCATGAGTATAACAGAAAACTTTCTCTTCCAGTCCATCACTAGTGAGTTCTCTAAAGTTTTTATGAAACAAGTAAATCAGCGATCATATTTCAATCAACCTTGTGCAGTTTATTTTTCAATAGATCTGACATTTTTCTTATTGATTTAGATTTTCTAAAAGAGTTTTTATATACAGTAAGGTCCCACATAGACATGTCAGTCTTTGTTGATCTATTTTTCCTGCACCAGTGCATTGTTTCAACCTTTTTTGTTTTGGAAAGTGCCTAAACAAAACCTCCTTTCTGTGATATTGTTTTCCAGTTAATAAGTCCCAGTTATTGTCAGGAGGAGCAACTTCCAGGACGGACACACGTGCAATAGATTACGTGTGTACAGAACATCCATCCATCCATTTTCTAACCACTTATCCTCTTGAGGGTTGCAGGGGGGCTGGAGCCTATCCCAGCTGACATCGGGCGAGAGGCAGGGTACACCCTGGACAGGTCACCAGACTATCACAGGGCTGACACATAGAGACAGACAACCATTCACACTCACACCTACAGACAATTCAGAATCACCAATTAACCTGCATGTCTTTGGACTGTGGGAGGAAGCCGGAGTACCCTGAGAAAACCCATGCTGACACAGGAAGAACATGCAAACCCCCCACAGAAGGGCTCCCACACACAGGATCGAACCAGGAACCCTCTTGCTGTGAGGCGACAGTGTACAGAACAGATCGACATAATAAATTTACAGTAATCCATATGACAAAATGAGACATAAAGAGAGACAAAGCGAGACAGAGAGAGATGCAGGGCAGACAGTCATGACAATAGCTAAAATAACATTAAAAACAACTGTACCTCAGTGTGTTCAGACTTCTATTACTCAATGACAATAGCACTTACAGTGATTCTGACTGTAAGGGAAAAGTGTTGCCTATCAAATCCGACCATGCAAGTACATGTACTGAAATTGAAACAAGCAAAGCTTTTAATTTACTTCAATTATGCCTTGGATAGGTGTTTTAGTTGAGTTTTACAGGAGTGGTAAGAAGTTAATCCACATTTTCCACACATCTAGTGATAACCCTAAGGCACCCAAACCACCCAAACACACATAGGCTTTTCCTTCTGCTCATTTCCGTGTATAAATAGACAATCCAGCAGTCTACTGAACACTGTCTTTATATGCTCAACATTTGCCCCATCAAACAAACTTGTTATCCAACATTGCATTCATGACACAAAACCACATCCGAAACCTAAGGACACCAGATAAGTTTCACTTTCCCCAAAGTCGCTATCAGCAAAGTCAGCTGACTGTGCTCACTGTATGAATCAGCTGTCTTTGTTTTGTTTTGTCATTTGCCACTAGCACCACTGCACTAACAGGATGGCAGATTCAGAGTGGACGCGTATCTTCCAGGCGAACGCAAATGATCTCAAAAAAGGAGACACCTGGCATCTGGAGTTTGATCAAAATCTTGTGCCTAACAGCCCAAACATGGGCTGGCAGCAGTACATCAGGAACACAAGCGCAAGGTCAGTGTGCTGGGTTTTGTATAGTGTGGTAAACATTCAGTATAAGTTATAGTTTAGAGGTTTATTTAAGTCTGTGTGTAGGTGCATCTATAACTAATTATACTACTTAGGTTATGTGGACGAAAACTGGTCCCCTCAATGTTTAGAGTAACCATAAGGGTCATGTTAGGGTAAAGGAAATAAATGCACAGTAGGTTAAGGTGCAGTGTGATAAAAGCTTGGTTATTTTAGAGTTAGAGTGATACTGATAGGATCAGAGGTTTTCAACACTTGAATGGCAGAGTCATGTCATTAAAGGGCCAGTTGAGTCTTTTTTATAACCTGGGTCCTCATCCATTTCAAGGTTCAAATGCAGCAAGTGCAGAAGAGAGTGGCCTTCCAACCGGGTGATGGTGGTCTTCCACATGCGCCTGACAGACGGCCAGGGCGTTGTCAAGGTCCGGCCCTTCCGTCAAAACTGCAAGAAGTGCAGCAAAGCTCCGATGGAGCGGCCCAGCATCACCTCCGAGAACATCAGCATCCTCATGGAGAATCTGGTGGAGAAGATAAGAATAAAATGCTACCATGAGGACCTGGGCAAACCATACAAGAAGTTTCTGGGCCTGGATGTCAAAAGTCCACATGAGCCTGCTCACTGCGAGGGCTGCATTCAAGGCATCTGTACAAAGGAATGAACTTGTGTTTGCATTCCTTTGTACACCAACCATTTTCGTAATTTAAAAAAATAGTAATATATAAGCAAATAATAGAAGCAAACTGTGTAAGATTTGCCTTCCTGTCATTCTGTTGCATTATATTGTGCTGTCTATCATATTCATATAATATTTAAGAACATGTAAGCTTTCATATTAATTCTTTTTGGCATTCAACTGACTTTCTGCTCCAACGCATGAAGCAAGTCATCTAAATAAAGCATATACAAACAATAATCAAAATGTATCTGTGATTTGTTGTGTGGGAATTTTCTGTTTTCAAAAAAAGGTCTTATTTATTAATGATTTAATGTGTAAATGTGGCATTTAATGAGAGGATGAAGGCCCTGACAATGAATTTTGACACTTAAAGTATGAGTAAAGGAGTCACTAAGGTAAACTGATCTGCAAACAACACAATATTAATTATTATATCAGTGGTGTAAGGTAGTGACAATGGGCCCCAGTGCGCACTATTATGAGGGACCCTATTACGCCTATACATATCACATATTACACAGCAATCATCGTTACATATCTGTACAAGACAAATCTACAAAAAAAAAGGAAATTATTAGTTTAACTTGATAGTTTTTATTGGTAAATTATAGTTTTTTAAATAATTTATGTAGAATAAGTTTATAATTTGTTATAGATTGACACTGTTTTAGAAAACCAGAAAACCATGATGGAGATGGGTTTGTCTTATTTAGGGCATGTATCGAAAATAGCACCACTTTTGTTTTAATGTGAGTTCTTCTTTGAACACGGGCATATTTCCAGGTGGCAGTCGGGCCCCTCCACCCCATGGGCCCCAGTGCAACCGCACTGCCTGCGCTGTCTATATTCACGCCCCTGTATTAAATATAATATTTGGACATGTACAAGTGAGAAAATGAGATGCTATACCAAGAGTATAGGTGGGAAAGTGTCTATGGAAGACAGAAGAAATGACGGAAAGGTGTCACTCACACAAAAGACCGTGACTGCAGCAGCTCCCCTGCAATGAACATTTGATAGAATCAAACTTTCAACAAATTTTGCAGTGTTTTTCTAACAGTAACAAAGTCAGTGTGAGAGATTTAAAATAACTGTTAACGCACATTTTTATCCAACACTAAGTTTGTTAGAGTACCATACTGTGAGAACTTGTTGAACAGCAATTATATCTCTATGTGCAACCTGGTTCATTTTGACTGACAGCATTAATATAAAATGAAAAAACATTGGCTGGCAGGAGGTTTGGGGTGACACCAGAGGACACTTGTCTCTCACAGGCCATCCACTGCTTATTTGCATCTGACCAACTGGTGTGACGCCGATGCCGGTGTGGTCAGTTTCCACCATCTGCCAGTCACACACTGCGGGACAATACATCACCTGTGGTTTTGTCCTCGTTTTGTATGAAACCACCTGCAGGGAAAGTAGCTGCTTTGCAGAGTTTTCCATTTTCCACATCATTTGCAGAGGGGTTGTCCACATCACGCTTGGTTTACAGTGGCACTTTGTATATCTCGCCCACGAGGGCTGAATTTAGTCTTGCAAGAGTGAGTTTGTCGGGTGAGTGGTGGGTATGCCTCTGCTGTCTTGAAGTGGTTATTTTTGGATAGATAACTCACCTGTTAATACAACTGGCAACTAAAAGCAAATAATGTAATGCAGTATAATAATTATTCTGTGTGCTTTCCAGTGGTACTGAAGAAACTGCTTCCATCTCACAACTGTAGAAAGATTGACATCATGGCACCCAAGGATACTACTCTGAAGGTAAAGTATCATCTTCAGGTGCATGCTCTGGATGTAATGAAGTATTATTTCTGAGGCTAAATACAGCGTCAGTATTAATAAATCTTCTCTGTGACTGATTTGTGGTTTTATTGTTGTTGTTGTTGTTGTTGCCTAAATATATTTGTTATCTTATTCTAGTGTCTCCCTCCGTCAGTCAGGCTCATAATGGTCATGTTTCTCATTCTTATACCAGGTAAGCTTCTTGGTGTGCACAATATTGAGTATAAGGTATGCTTATATCAAATGTTTTTCCCCAAAAAATATAACCAAAAAGGTTGCACAGAATGAAAAGTGCAGGGAAATGTGAACTGCATGAGCACTTATACAATTTATAATGTATGTCTAATATGATAAGCCAAATACAGGAGGATTTGATTCTTTTATACTGTGCGTTAATAGGGAAATAAGCTAATCAAAATCCCAATGATTACAGGGAACTAAAGCTGAGACAGTCCCCTTAGTAGTTAATCCCTTTTGTTAGTTATAGTCTGCTGTATCGTTGGAAATAAGCCAAATGTTTAGGGTGGAAGTTTTAATTTTCTAATCTTCTCCTCAGCTGCAGGCAGTGCCAGACAGGTGAACTGCTCTCAGCCAAACCAACCCGCCCTGCTGGAGGCTCTGACTCCGATCTTTAACCTGAGCGCCATACGACCAGTCATGAACATGACAACCCGTACCACTGTCATGACATATTTCACCCTGTATGGGATACTGGGAGTGGTATGTTTCAGCTCTCAGTAGATAAGATAAGTAGTGTTATACAGTATACTGAGTGTGTAAAGGTATTTTGGGCGAGTATGTGGCACCTCCTTAGGATGAAACTCTTCAGATACCAAATCATGTCATTTCTTACTTTAATTTCCAACCAACCTGAATCAAACCACTTCTTTGTGTTTCTGGGCTCCACTCAGACTTCCTTTAGGATCTGTATGGTCCCCAAACAACACATCAGAAAACACTCTCTCTGTTTCTGTGCCGTAAAGCAGCTCTTCTTGTCTTCCAGGATGAAAAGGCTCAACTCTTGAACACATACCTTTGGCTACATTATGTATGTACCGCAATCATCCATCTTTATTTCTCAGTCAGTCATGTAGGGACAACTGTGGGATTATTTCTGTGATGATGTGACTATTACTTATACCATACCGGCTCTGTGCACTGACACCAGTTGTGTTGTTTTAGTGGTGGATGAACGAGTTTGTCAGCTGGGACCCAAGCCAGTGTGGCAACGACAGGATTACTCTCCCAAGAAAAAAGTTTTGGGTGCCAGATATTGTAATCAATGAATTGTGAGTCCACTGTTTATGCTGTTTATACAAAGCATGTCAAACACACAGAGTTTCTCTTCTATTTTTCCAAAAGTAAATAATTTCCTAAAACGGCTGGGCACTGTATTTTTTTCCAAATGTTACTCTAACAGGAGTTAATAGGGCATTTTAAGCTGTGGATTCATATACATTAGTGCTCTAGTGAGTATTTGGGCAACAGGACAGTGTACGTGGGATTGAATCAAAGACAACCGCAGTGTCTATGTTTGCTGTAATGACGGAAAACGTCTACCAACAGCATGACTCATTAATTTGTTGTCAGGTTTTGGCTTGACAGGCAGTACTTGTTTGAAAGACCAGATTGTTGTTGCTCTTTTTGCTTTTTGGGATGTAATGACGCTTATAAAGAGGTGACTCATCTAAATTCTGAAATTAAAGGTGCCACGCTCTAATTTTACATTTCACTCATCACTCTTGATGCTTGTTCCTGTCTTGCAGTATGGATGAAAACACAGCCCCGTTTGTCCCATATGTGTACCTGTATAGCGATGGTAGGGTGCACGATGCTCAACCGGTCAAAGTTGTCAGCTCCTGTAACCTCGATATCTACACGTTCCCCTTCGATATACAGAACTGCACTTTGACTTTCAACTCCTACATCCACCTCGGTAAGACACTTCACCAAATGTGTCATTTAAAGACTTCTGTATGCTGGTTTGGACAAAAGTGTCCAAGAGATGTAAATGTAAGAGACATAAAGTAATCTTTGTCCCTTATGTAAGCATTGATGAATGTTGACATGTTTGGATGTGGCACGGTGATGCAGTGGTTAGCATTGTACCCTCACAGTACGTGAGTAAGAAGTCCGGCTTCCTCCCACAGTCCAAAGACATGCAGGTTAATTTTTGACTCTAAATTGCCCGTTGGTGTAAATGTGAGTGTGAATGGTTGTTTGTCTCTATGTGTCAGGCCTGTGATAGTCTGGCGACCTGTCCAGGGTGTACCCCGCCTCTCGTCCAATGTCAGCTGGGATAGGCTCCAGCCCCTCGCGACCCCCAAAAGGACAGGCGTTTACGGAAAATGAATGAATGAATAAAGGAACAATGTGTAAGATTTTAGGGGATTTAGTGACATCTAGTGGTGAGGATTGCAGATTGCAACCAGCTAAAACTTCTCCCAGCTAGATTTCCTTCAGTGTTCATGGTTTTATGGAGAACCGACTTACCCGCAGAGGTCTCCTCCTCTCCAAATGTAATGGACCCAGTGATTTAAAACAGTAAAAAAACAGAATACAGGTTTCACGTTTAAAAAAAAGTGTTTTTCCGACACTCATGTCGCAGAGTTGCTGCTACGGCGGCTGACACGAAAACACAAATGGCCCTATCTAGAGCCAGTGTTTGGTTTGTCCCTTCTTCCTTCTCTGGAAGAGGACCCACCCTCTTTGTTAATTTAAATGGCTGATTCTAAGGTAAAGAAAACACAAATATTCTCATTGTCAGGTGATTATATATAAATGAAAGCATACTTATGGTATTGTATTCCATTTGTGCCACTATATACCCCTAAATTTTACACATTGGACCTTACATAAATTGTGTTTGTGTGGAGTTACCAAAAGTTTTGTGTGATGTGTGTTATCTTACATTTCCTGTGTTTCTGGGGAATATTTTATTGTTGATGCACCATGACAAAAAATCTGCTGCATTAGAGTTATTGAAAATGGATTGGCCTTGGAAATTGACCTCAGAGTTGGGATGGTTATGAATATGTGGAAGGGATGAATATCTATAATACTTCCATGATTAGCCAGAGACAGACAAGAAACATGAATAAAACATATATAATCCATACCAATTTTTTGAAACTATGAATTCCTGTAATGTGGACATGTAATGTGACTTAACAGGATAATGCGTTTCTCTGTTTTTCTCTCCCCAGCAATGGACATAAAGATTAAGCTGGGGAGGGCTGCAGATCACATCACAGAGCACTCCAAGAATGTGATGACCACCATGGGGGAGTGGGAGCTGCTGGAAATTACTGCCCACAAACAAAACCAAGGAAATGATGATGGCGCTTACGTAGACGAGCTTGCATTTCATGTAGGTTGATTTTAAAGTTTGTAAAGCGCACAAAGTGGACATTATTTTACATTTCGCTCTAAGATTATAACAGTGTGGTTGAAGGCAAGAAAACCTATGTTGTGAAACATCTTACTTTACTAAATAATTCTGCCTGAAACGTTTGACGTGTATTCATCAACAACATTAAGTGGGTGGCTGTTATGACAACAGTATGTGGTATCGACACAGTGATTTGTTTCTTCCCTCTGCAGATCAGAGTGAGGCGCCGTGCTACCCTGTACGTGGTGAACCTCCTGATCCCCAGCTGCTTCCTCATCACAGTGGATCTCTTCAGCTTCCTGCTGCCTCCCCACAGTGTGGACCGTTCCTCCTTCAAGATGACCCTCATCCTGGGCTACACCGTCTTCCTGCTCATCATGACCGACCTGCTGCCTATCACCGGAAACACCATACCTCTCATAAGTCAGTGTTATTCAGCCTCTGAAAACTAAAACCTGTCACTTGTAAATTGCTTTCAAATGTGTTTGTTTTGTTCTGGTGTTGCTCTAATTGTTACTGAGAAGCATCTTTTGACGCACATGAGCTGCTGTGCGAGGAGCGTAAACTGCCATGTATTGGGTGGTCCAAAGTGTAAAGAATGATGTAATGATAATCTTGATTTACAAAGCGCTTTTCAAAACAGAGTTACAAAGTGCTTTACATGTCAATTATTAAAACAGACAAGACATGAAAACAACTTTTAAAAGAACTGATTAAAAAAAAACAGGAAATAAGACTCAAGTAAAATCAGGAAAGTCTCTCCGATAAAAGTATGGTTTAAAAAGGGACTTAAAAGAGATCACTGACCCGGCTGAGCTCATTTTCTTGGGCAGACTATTCCCGAGCCTCGGGACCCTGACAGCAAATGCTCTGTCCCCTTTAGTTTTCAGCTAGGCCTCTGGTACAAACAAAAGACCTCCTTCCTGAGGACCTCAAGGTATGTCCTGGCGTGTACTAGTGATGGGCAAAGCAATTCTTTAGATATTACTGAATCACTAGAATCAGTTCATTAAAAAGATTCGTTCACCCAATCGTTCAGTGCTTGGCGGGAGGAGCCCTGACTGTGTACTGCGTAGTCCGACTCACTGAACTGATACATGGCTGACCTGCTGCATCTGCCCTGCACTGGCGAGTCTCATCACTGGCCAGCTTAACATGTTAAGTTTGTTTATCTGGAAACTAAGTCTATTGAAACAATGGGGAGGTGTGTGATTGTGTTCATGTGGCTTGACTCCTGGCTACATTAGCATGGAGAAAAAGGTCCGTATGAAAGTGTATGGCTGAGAAGAAATGATTTGAATCACTCAGGGATCAGGGTTACGTCGTTCACCGAGTGATTCGTTTACCGAGTGATTCGTCACGCGGTAGGCAGTCCCTCCCTGCACCCTGGCTGCCTTGGACTTGAGTTCCACTCCTGGCTTGCACGCTCACTTCTGAGCTCAACTGAACTGAGAAATGAACGAATCGGTTCCAGAAGTGATTCAATTCAGTACGTTCACTCAACAGATTTGTTCTTTTGAACGATTTGTTCGCAAACGACACAACACTAGCATGTACGATATCATGAGGTCGGAGTTACTGCTAAGACAGAGACCATGAAGAGCCTTCAATGTAATCAGTAAAATCTTAAAATCTATTCTGCAACATGCTGGGAGCCAGTGTGAAGATGCTAAAACTGGAGCGATGTGATCACGTCTCTTGGTTCTGATTAAAAGCCAGAGCTCTCTCTTGACACTATTGTACTTAAACAAACTGCTGTTATGCTGAAATGCCATCATCACTCAATCATTTCACGTGTTCAGTTAATGTCAGCCTGCAGGGACATGTGGGTCTGTGGTCCCTAGCAAGCTGTTGCCATCATAATTAAAGATCTTACAGGTTTTCATTGGAGGAAAAGTCACGCTTCCAAAGATCTTGTGCACATGGGTATTTGGTGCAGATAGTCTTAGAATTGGCTGCAATTTTGATTTCTGTGCCTCATACAGATACTGTGGGCAAATGATTGTTCAGATTTGCATCTGCATTTCCAAATGGGGCACAGAAAGTTTTCATTTTTGACCCTCACTGGCAACTGTCCACCCAAAACACCCATTGCCCTGTCTCTCTGCCAGATGTGTTCTTCTCCATCTGCTTGGCTCTGATGGTGGCCAGCCTACTGGAGACTATCCTCATCACCAACCTGCTGTATGGCGCGGATGACTTCCCTCCCACCCCTCGCTGGATCCAAGTGTTTGTTCTGCAAATTCTGGGCCGTCTCGTTTGCCTGACTTGGAAGAGTCAAGGACCAAAAGATTCAGGTGGTTACATTCACAAAAGAAATCTAGAAATGTCCGAATATATGCAATGACTGAATGTACAGTTCAGAGTAAATCAGGTGGATCAACATTGTTAACACACCACATTGATGGAGTGAATGAAATGATAAAATTCTCTCTTGCAAAAACCAGACAGGAAACCCAGCGCTGTGGTGGCACAGCGAAAAGCTGATGATGTACTTCCGTTGGAGAAGGGGCCAGCGGTGGAGGACAGTGCGGTTCAGGAGCTGAGGATCCTGGGCAGGGACCTCCAGGCCATCCGCCTCCAGGTGGAGAAGCAGCTGGTTCGAAGCCACAGCTCAGAGGAGTGGATCCAGGTGGGTTTCATCATAGACCGCCTGCTGTTCGGCCTCTACATCCTCTTCATATCAGTCAGCTTCATAACCATCATCATTATCTGGGTGAAGTCATACAATCAGTAGACAACGGCTGTCTGTTTTACAGGGCTCCATTTATGTAGCTAGAGACTCAAACGTGTGTTGAATTTTAATCAATAGATGATAATGTTGTTGTTTTGCTTGGAGCCAAGACATTTATACATACTCTCAAGTTATTGTGCTATTGTAAATAATAACAATCATCATTAATCTAACACTATTACATTAATTATATGTAGTTCTAAGCCTTTTGTGTTACACTGTGCCGCTCTAAAATGGAGAAAATCATGTATACAAAATAAAATTACTTAAGAAAAATACATTCAGTTTTCGATTGACATTCATTTCAGACATAATAATCATGTTCCAATTGTTTTCCTATCTATTCATTCATGTTAATGCCAGTTTTTGAACCCTATATTCTATTTTTCATTTTTATTACACAAACCAAAACACTCCAATTATCAAATAAGTTACTAAATACCAGCCATAAAAACCATGTGTGTACACTCACACAGAGTGAGCAAGTCATTCGTTCCACAAATAAAAAAAGGGTACACTACATGGCCAAAAGTATGTGGACAACAGTGCTGCAGGGATTAGTGAGCTCAAGCAGTGATGTTGGGCTTTAAGACTTGGTTCACAGTCATCGTAAAGTTTGGGGTGGGGTTGAAGTTAGGGCTCTGAGCCACAACGAAGCAAATTGTTGTCTAAAAAAAATCACTGAATTATGTTGTATTAAGATGTCCCCAGCCCAACATACACCTCCATATAGTGTATCTTGTGTCCAAACTTTTTTTTTTCTAGTTTCTTTTCTAGTTAGTTTCAAGTAAATATCTTGCATCTGGATATGCAGAACTCACCAGGATGTAAGCAGAAGGGTAACATAATTTACCTAAACAGCATCTCTGTCTCCATGTGGTCATATTTATAAGATTTGCGAAACAAAAATCTGCAAATTCGCAGTAATTTAAGCATTCACACTTTCCCTTTGGGTCTTAAATTTAAAGAAGTCTTCTGCTTCTGCTTTTTGATATCTTATGCTTTCCTACTGTTGGGACTTTGTGGGATTCAGGGCTTTGCAGGCATATCACAATTTCAATGAAGTCACCTCAAGGTGTTTGTCTTAAAGTGCACTTACATTAAAACAAAAAAAAAAAAATAGATTTTTCTTTTTAAAATTCCAGTTCTCTAGATCATGTCTGTATTTGCCATCTAAAATATGTGTAGAAAACTTTACAGGACAGCCCTAACAGCCAGCACACCACTCAAACTAACAACCGCTTTTGACCCAATGTTAATGTTTTTAGTGCTGCCCGCTGAAAGTCAAGTCTTCTAAGGTTCTATTCATCTTCATCACTGTGCTCATGCATGGTAAGTACAGCTTCTACTGTATTAAACAGTAATAGACACTGATTTCCAAGAGCTAATTATTTCACAGTTATTATTCAAGTCAGTCTTTCCAGTATCAAAATATATGAAGGAAGTCAAAAGGCATTGTAATGGTTTAGCAAACTAAAGCCACTGTGTGTAATCAAGAGAGGAAGTTTATACTTACTGAACGTTGATACTCATGTTATCAGTAGACGTCTCTCCATAGTACACATTTCAGATTCTTGGTCGCAAAGTTCAGCCTCAGCCTCACAGATTTTAACACCTGTTAAAAGGGTTAAAGTTCGTGTGGGTTTGATTTGTCCCGCTGTGATATGGCAGAGGTGTGACATCTGTGTCACTGATTATTTGAGACCTTTGCACACTCTTCAGTCTGGAGTCCGTCTGGCATTGTGCTGGTGACTAATCCACACTTCCTGCTGCTTTAATGCTAAATGCAGGATGACACACAGCACTTGTAGTCAGTTAAATTTCTGAGTGTCCTTCAGGCCACTAGGAAGACATTGAGATTAGGGGTTCATCTGAGAGGTTTTTTCAAGGGCCAAAAAATCTCCTCCCACAAAATGTGTCACTGAAATAAAGGAAAAAAGTCTCACCACCAAACCACGCTGACTCACCATCATTACATCTTTTGCCGCTCTTATGTTAAATAAGGATGCATACTTTATGCCAGTTACTTTACAGTCTTTGGTTTTTGGAGTTCATACTTTTGGGGAATACCTTTACTTGCTGTTTGTTGCAGCCAATGTACATCAACTGTACATTTCGTTTGTCCTCCATAGCTCCGTGCAGTTCCATCATGCTGAACTGCTCTCGACCAGACCCGCCCTCCCTGCTGGAGGCTCTCCAACCGGTCTTCAACCTGAGCTCCATTCGACCTGTCATGGATATGTCCAACCCCACTAATGTCAGCATCGACTTCACCCTGTTAGGCATTTTGGGGGTGGTAAGGAACACTACATTATACTATAACTTATTCACCATTAGGCCATGCTCGATTGTTTCTGATTGTAAAGAGTGTAATCTGCTTTTATTTGCAGACTAATAACTTAGCCAACAGGGCTATTTCATTACATTTAATGTTTTTGAGTCTCTATACAGTCTAATTTCATCTGTCCATAAAAGAAAATGCTTGTAATGAAGGAATGCATTCGACTGAATGTTGTTTCATTTATAGGATGAGAAGGCCCAAGTCCTGAAAACGTTTATTTGGCAGGAATTAGTAAGTACTCCCTTTACAATCAACTTCTCATTTTATTAGCAATAATAAATCTCAGGCTTGAGATCAGAAAAAAACTTGGAGATGTTTGGAATAAATTTTAAGGCAGATAACGCTCTATACCAGCAAAAGAATACAAGCTACTACATAAGGTAAATATTAAAAATAAAATAAAATAATATAAAATTAAATGAAATGAAATTAAATTAAATTGCATTAAATCATCACAGTGTAGTGTAACTTAAATTGGCAAATAAAAAATGTACACTGCTGGTCCTTAATTCTGTGAAAATGGGACCACTGGACATGTCAAAGCGTAACCAGCTGGTCACATCCTGACATCACCTGAAAGCTGTTATACTGTATGTAGTCAGGTACATATTTGTTGAATCTGTCTGATTCATTTTGCAGGAATGGAGAAATAACTTCGTCCGCTGGGACCCAGAACAGTGCGGTTCTACATGGATTACAATTCCAAGGAAACTGCTCTGGGTACCAGACGTGGTCATCAATGAATTGTAAGTACCAGCTCCTCTATAGAGAAGTGTAGCCTTAGCTTTTGATTTTTCAGCCTAGATTTGGTTGTTACCTGCACCACCTCCCCTCATTCATAACAAACAGTCCCTTACTGGCTTCCATGTCTTTTCTCATCCTGTAGCATGGAGAAGAACTCAGCTCCGTTCGTCCCATACAGCTATCTGTTTCATGACGGCTTGGTGATCGATAAACAGCCTGTCAAAGTCATCAGCTCCTGCAGGCTCGACATCTACACGTTTCCATTTGACATCCAGAACTGCAGTTTAAGCTTCAACTCCTACATACACCTCCGTAAGCAGAACTTAATCTTAATTTTACTTGAGATATACAGATTGTTGCATTCGTTGTAAAGTCAGTGGTGCAGGTGGGCATTTTTGTAATTAACTGTAAATGGATTAAATCTCACAAAAGTATATTTTCCTTTCAGTAAAAGATCTGCGACTTAACGTCTCATCAACTGTAGAGGACATTTTTAAAAACTCCAAAGAAGTGATGACAACTATGGGCGAGTGGGAACTGGTTGGAATCGCAGTGAAGATATCTGAAATACCAGCTGGTGATGAATATTACCACGAGATTTGCTTCTTTGTAAGGAAATACTGCAGACTGTAACCTTATTGTACTCTTTTATTTTTTTTTATACAATGGGAAAGGTGAGAGGAAGATTCAGGAGGAAGAACAGGTTTGAAGGTCTTTTGGGCAGCAGCACGTACTTACACCAAACTTTCCATTTTAATTCTAATTTATATTTCAGAGGTTTCTACAGAGGGGTTTTGGTCATGTATCATTTATAGTGACATTTTATTCCTGAAGCCAAAATTGATTTGACTTTTAAATGGCTGTTGGCAGTATTTTCTGATTTATGCAGTGATAAAAAGAGATATCTAAAATTCCCTCTGTTAAAACCTTTGACTCTATTGTGACAGCACTGTTGACTCTATTGTGACAGCAACTGGCTTCATCAAATGGTGAGAGTGGACTCAAATGCATGATTCTTGAAACAGTTTGGGTAAAACAACTCAGTCTTTACTGGTCAAAAGGTAGGTTCAGTACATAGATGGACAGGGATGAGGCAAAGGCAGAGTCACTCAACAGGCTAAATCCAAAAAAAAAACAAGAAAAGGACACGGGGAAACAAAAGGCTGGAACACCAGACACACAAGGAGCTAAGAGGCCGTTTACACGTACACGGTGATTTTGATAAACGGAGACATCTTCCTTCGTTTGTGCCCTTCGTTTACACGCAAACGGAGATTTCTCCTCTGAAAACGAGTCTTTCTAAAAACTCCGGCCAGAGTGGAGATTTTGGAAAACTCCGGTTGTGCGTTTGCATGTAAACTGAGATAAACGGAGATAAACGGAGTTATAGGCAGCCGACGTCACAGTATGCGCCGGAACTTGCGCCTGTGTCAAAAGTGCGACCTATGTTGCTATGGTGACAACGGATACATGGAAGGCTTGAGCCTCTCGTTACACTGCCACCTACAGGTTTGGCATGCTCTTGTGTATATATACACGGGTAAGTGTAAACGAAGATCTTTTTGAAAACGGAGATGGTGAAATGTCCGTTTATGAAAATAGCCAGCGACGTGTAAACGGCCTCTTAGACGAACTGGCACTGAGAGGAAACAAGACACACACTAAATACTGTGGTGAGGGGAAGGATAACGAGACACAGGTGAGGCTAATCAGGGCGGGACAGCCAATCAGACAAAGGTGAAGTCATCAGAAGGGAGGGAAAACACACAGGGGCAGGAAGTGAAGTGATCTGAAACGAGAGGAGATGTGAGTTTCAAAGTAAAACAGGAAACAACATGATTGAATGACACAAAAAACATAACCTAAGAAACTTGAGCTGTGACAAATACCTGTAGGCATTTGCAGCTTTTTGTAATAG